AAAAAAGTTGCAGTTTTCTCTTGAAATTGCCTCTTTTTTTGTATTTATACACTGACGATTTATCAATTTATCAGTAAATACGTTATCAGTCCCCGGTTGCTTACTCCTTGAGAAAAAATATTTGTTTTTTTTCGCTCTCTTCATATGTTTGAATGACGATTTCGCATTGCCAGATTTGCTTTATGTTTATGATGAGATCAATATTGTTTTAATGCGTCATCTCTTTTTTATTCCGTTTTCTTTTTTTTTTTTTTGCATAAAGTATATTACTGATTTTTGTAAAAATATTCCATTCTAGAGTCGCTATTTTATTTTAGTTTGTAAAGTAATTTTTTTAGTGGGAGAAATTGAATCCATTTTGATATATATAAAAGAGAGGATGTTTAATTATTTGGGTGATAAAGATTTTTTTTAGTATCGATGCTCAGCTTTTTTCTTCCGGTGACGTCTTTGGTGAATGGAGGATCGCGTGCTAAATTCTAAATTGATTTTCCCCCCTTTTTTATAAGCGAGTTTAGATTCGTGTCGACCGCACGAATGTATATTGGCGTTCGTTCGACAAACAATAATAATACTTGTGAGCATTTTTCAACGAAGCGACCCAGCCTGTCACACATTTAGCTGTTTTTTTTCTACTCGGCAATATTTGCAAAAGTTGGTCGTATAACCTGCGCACACCAACACGAAGAATGTAACAGTAAAGGCTTTCCTAGAAATTCACATTGTCAACCTGCAAATGATATTCCATTTGTTTGTTAATGATGACTCAGCGCCACGGTGAAAGAGTTTGGTTTACTTTATATTGTTGATGTTCATAAATATAAATATATATGTATCATACTCGTTTATTTTATCACTAAATTGAATTTACTTTCTGAAAATCGAAATCTTTTAGTGAAATAAGTTTTCGAAAAAACTAATTTTTCGAGGTCTGATTAGATTAACTTATGATACAAAAAATTTAAAAATTGATATTTTTATCATGTTTTTAGTTACAGTAGCAATTTCCAGTTGAAGCAGGATCCTCTCAATTTGAAATAAATTTAAATTGAGGAGGCAATTATTTCAGTTCGATGGAAGAAGAAGAAGAAGATGCTTAAAAAGCAAAATTATTAATGATCTGTAGAAGAAATCAAAAAAATTTATCAATTGGCACAAATAGTAAACAAACAGAAAACTTGGTTTAGTTTTAAAAAAAAACAATTTAGAATTTTATTAGTTTTGCTCCATCTTCGATTTTTCGTTTTCTCGTTTTTAAAAGCTTTTGCTTAACTAGGAAAATATTGTGGAAATTTTCTTCAAAATTTTTCACTGTTGACTCATTTTCTAAATAAGCTATTTATCTAAAAATTTGTCGAAATTTTTTCAAAATTTTAAGAAACGAAATCTTTTTTGTGAATTATATAAAAATTATTTTCTTTTAATCCAATCACTATTTTTATCAGAATTTTTACAATAGCAGATATTTTAGTTGATTTTTTTATTGAGCAGAATTTATATTTATCAGAATTTCATTTGTACAAACAGTTACTGTCAAAATGATAATTTGTGCAAACAAAAATTTAGATAAATAAAAATTTTCACTACAAAATTCAACTTAGAGTTCTTTTTTAAATAGAAATTAATTTTGATAATTTCTATAAAATGAAAATCTGGTTATTTGAAATTAAATTTAAAAGAACAACTTTCTATTCGATTGGAGAGAATATAATAATAAAATAATGATTTATTTCGAATTGTAATTTAGACGAGTTTTTGTCATCTCGAATTAGAATTTGTATGAATATTTATACATATGGATTCTAATTTATTTTAGTTATTACTTGATTGAGTTATAATTGATAAGTTAAAAACTGAAGAATTTAAAAATAACTAAATTTTAATTATTACGAATTTTTATTAAAAATGAATTTATCGGGAAAGAAAATCATTATGTAGAAGTCTTTATTATTCGTAAATACTATTTATAAGAAATTTTAGATTATAGAATTTATAAATTGCAGCACTATTAATTGAAATAACTTAAATTTGTCGAAATTTTTTTTAAATCAAATTTATATTTGAAAAAATATTCATTGAAACAACTCTTTATTTGCAAGAATTGATATTTGATAAAGAAATTATTTTCTAGAATTTCTAACAAAAATTTTTCTTTAAATCAATTATTTTTAATAATTTTTGACAAAGTTCCTTGAGAATTTTCAAATTTATTTGTATACAATTCAATTTTACGTGAAATTTCGATTATTTGGAAATTATTCAATTAAATTTATATTAGAGAAAATGAAAACTTAAAATCATTCCAAGAAAAAATTCAATTATATTAAAAAAAAATTAATTCGTCAGAATTGTTAGTCAAAAGTATATGAAAAACCAGGTTTTTAAAGATTTTACTTTGAAACCTTTTCGAAATTAAATTATTTCTAAAAATTCACGCTATAATGCTTTTAATATTCAATTATTATCTAAAATTTTATAACTAAAATTCATTTTTAAATAAATTTTTATTAGAAGTTTCAAAGAGGATTGAATTATTTAAATACAAAAATAAATAATTTATTGAATAAATGAATTTTTTTTAACATTGAATTCTCATATAGAATTTTATCAAGAAATTTTCAAATAATTGAATTCTTTCTACAAATTTTTATAAAGTTTTTAAGAATAATGACATTTTTCGAGAAATTCGATTAAAATTTATTGTATTAAAAATAATTTAAATCCTATAATTTTATTGTTTCTAAAAATAGTTGAATCCTTGTAAAACACATTATTTTTGAAAATAATCAAATTATTGCAAAGAAACTTTTAACAAATTTGTAAATAATTGAATTGACATGAAATTTTTATTATTTATGAAAATAATTGAATGTTTGAGTAGAATTTTATTGAAATTTTTTAAAAATATAGTTGAATTCTTTTGGAAAATTTTATTAAAATAGATATTGAAAATCATTGAATTGGGGAAAATTTTTGAAAAGATTTGAATTTCAGAGAAAAATTATGAAAATTTTTCAAAAATCTAATTTCTTTAAAATTTCTAATTAAATCGATGCAAAATTAAATTTTTATAAAATTTATAATTAAAACCATTTGATGTTTATTTATGAAAATTGTAAATGAAATTCTTTTAAAATTGAATTAATTGTGAAATTTTGAAATAAAACTTTTCATTAAATACCTTCTAAGTAATAATTTTAAGATTGTTTTTCAAGTATTAAGTTATTTAAAAAGTAACTATTATCAGAAATAGAAAAAATTAAATTTTTTACATTAGAATTCGTGGTAATTTTATAGTTTTTGATAGAAATAAAAAAGATACCAAAATTCAAATTTTTTTTATGAATTGTAAAAATTTAATTTTTCTTCAGTACTTTTAATAAAATTCCCTGACCTGTGGCAACCATGTTGAAACAAATAATAAATTGTAATTCATCTATATAAATATTCATGTAAATTCTAATTCTATGTGATGAAAATTCGTATAAATTATAACTGGAAGTAAATCTCTTTTGTTAAATATTAAATAAAAATAACAAATTTCGAAAGACTGATACTGTTAAGTGATTTTTATGAATCAGGCACCCCAAAATTCGATCAAGTAAAACTTCTGTTAAATAAAAATATTAATAAAAATAATAAAATAAATAAATATTAATAAAAAATAAATATTAATAAAATAAATATTAATAAAAAAAAATCAGTTTATAAATTTTGATTAGTCATACTATCTATCAATTCAACTTTATATAAAATTAGTTTAGATAAAAATTTGAATCAATGAATTTTAGTAAATATAAATAGAAAATTTCCTTTGGCACTACAATGAGTCGTCTATATATCTACATTGAGTTTGGTTTCAAAAATTCCTTGAGTCACTCGTATAAAATATTTCTAATTCTCGTAAATTCTTCTTTCGTCTATTGAGATGTTTTAATAGACCAGTATTTTTTCTCCTCGCTATTTTGTTTATTTTGTCTAACATATATATTGAGCCATTTCCTGCGAAACTTGGTATATCTTTTATTTTAACTTCATCATAAAAAAAGTATGAATTATCGCATTTTTTTGTTGTTGTCAGCTTCAGCCAAGTATATTCATGACTCGGTGAACATAGTCCATGAGACAACATCTGTGTTTATTGTTTACAAGTCGCCAACTAATAAGCAGTTCAGAACACTCTTAAACCTGATAATGTTTTGTAATTATCTTTTACAAAAACATTTTTTGTAGCGAAAGAGGGGGAAGATAGACATCGTTTTCATTGATATCGGCCTTGTCCGAGAATTGACACAGATCTCCGACATCCGATAGTGGGAATAGACTTACAACACGGCCCAGTTTAATCACAATATATGGATGTAAATATATATGTATTGAATACAATATCTTTTGTTACGTTTTTTCTAGTTTTGTATATGAGGAAAAAAAAAACTCTTGTGAGAAAGTTGTATTGAATAAATACAATATATTTAAATAAAAATACACTTGGGGAAAGTTGATATAATCACTCTTGTGGAATTTTTATTTTCAAATAAAATTAATTAGAGTAATGATAAAGATTACGCGAGTACGTATTCACGATTCAAGTCTGACGAGTATAAAATAGAAAACATTATTAAATCAACGACGGGAGATTTGTTGATAACACCGCGCGTTTATGTATTTGTGCTGCATTGCACCAAAGTCACGTGTGTGGCCAATATTGTCATCTGGATTTGAAATCACAATATTACGTCTCTAATTTAAATTTGTCACGGCATCTCGTAATTAACTGAGTGATTAAAATTTTACCTTTATAGGGAGAATAATCTTTTAATTTTATTTGAAAATAATTTTTCTTTTTGAAAAGAGAAATATGAGTTTAGTTTTTTGAAATTTCGAGGGAGTGAAGTGGTCATTCGGTTTTATCTGCGTCAGTGAATGTTGTTGATAGGAGTAAGGCACATCATTAGATATATTATTCCATTGTGGTATTTATCAATTTTCTTCTTTTTTAGATAAAAATATAAAATCGCCACGTCCGAGGTGAGAGGGAGTTAGATTGAATTTTATCCTCGAAGTTGGTGGATTTAAAATTCGTCTCTTGGTATTTTTGTTTACAAAACTTGTATCCAGTATTGTAATAGTTGAGTGTGCGCATCTATATCCTGACAGTTGGAAGACAAGATGGCTGACGTTGAACCAGTAAACACGTATGTATTCGTTATGTTTACCTATAGGTATATAGTGGTCGTTGCCCTGAAAAAGTAGGTCTCTTGCTTTGCGTCTCATCGTAAATTATATGAGTGTGACGTATCTGGCTAGCACAGAAAAGGATCCCAATCCGAATATTGCCAAGTGCCAAAAGGTTTGGCCGAGTTTTAAATTCTCAAAGGCCATATACACCTTACCTCCTCCCCTCTCTTTCTCTCTTTTTCTCTCTCTCTCTGCGACAATATTTTCCTTCATTCATTAGTCTGGATATAAACAGAGTATTATTGTCGATTCTTTTGTCTCGACGATTTTCTTTTTGTTTTTTCAGCTGTAAAAAAACACCAGTCATTAAAGAAATAATTTTAGATTCTTGTAAATTTACTTTCTCATTTTTATATTTTTGATATTCTTGAAAAAAATATTCTTTTTTGCTTGTATAAATTTTTCTTTTTAATAATAATAATAATAATAATAATAATAATAATGTATTTATAATTAATACAAATCATTAATAGTACTCATCGCTTCGTAATCTACTAAAATTTACTATTTACTACTTTTTTACGATTTGATACTATTTAGATACTTTTTTTAAATTTGTGTTTCTAAAAATTTATCCTATAATGATTTTAATATTCAATTAATATCTAAAATTTTAATTGAAATTCATTTTTAAATCAATTTTCGTTAAAAAATTCTACTTGAATTCAATTACTTAAATACAAAACCAAATAATTGAATGTTTCTTAAAATTTAATTCATTTGACGAATTTTAATAAAAAATGTTAAGAATAATTATATTGTACGAGAAATTCTATTGAAATTGTATTAAAAATCATTGAAATTCTGCAATAAGTTTTATTATTTATGAAAATAATTGAATTATTTAGAAGAAATTTATATAAAATTTGTAAATAATTGAATTGCTTTGAAATTTTTATTATTTATGAAAATAATTTTGTTAAATAATTGAATTGACAATTCCTGAGACGAATTGTATTATTTATGAAAATAATTGAATTGTTTCAACGAATTTTAATAATATTTTTAAAAATTAATACATTTTCCCAAGAATTCAATTAAAATTGTATTAAAAATAATTGAAATTATATAATAGGAGTTTTAAAATTTATGAATATAATTGAATTTATGCCAAGAATTTTATTAAAATTTTGAAAATAATTGGATTCCTTTAAAAAATTCGAAGAAATTCAATTATTTTTGAAAATTTTAATAAAATATCTACTTGACATAAATTGAAAATAAAAAAATTCTTTATAAATCTTCAATTATTTTCATAAATATCCAAATTTTTGTCAGTACAAATATTTTTAAAAATTTTTATAAAACTTTTTCGTAGGAATTCAATTATTTTTTTTACAATTTTAAAAGAATTTCTCTATAAGATTCAATTATTTTTATAGTTTTAATGGAATTCTTCAACTTTGAATAAAATTGACTGACTTTTCTATGACCTGTGGAAAAATTATTTAAAAATTTTTTTAATAATGTTCTTCTTAAGAATTCAATTATTCAAAAAAAATTCGATAAAGTTCTTTATAAGAATTAATTTTGATGAAATATTCAATAAATTATTTATTTTTTTATTTAAATAATTGATTTTGCGCAGAATTTTCTAATAAAAATTTATTTAAAAATGAATTTTAGTTAAAATTTTAGATAATATTTGGATATTAGAAGCATTATAGTCTGAATTTTTAGAATTTGGTAATTAAATTTCAAAAGATTTTATATTGAAAGAATTTTGTAATTTTAATACCCTTGGAAAAGTAAATAGGTATTTAAATATTTATTTTAAAAAAATTATTTTATTTTTGAATGTAATTTAATTTAGAAAGAAAAAATTGAGTTGTCAAATTTTATTGTTCGATATAGCTACTTTTTTACTGATTTTTTCATTCTAAAAGCTGCTTTTTGCTACTTTTTTAAAATTAAATTTTTAAATTAATTAATATGAATTTTATAAATTTAATAAATTTAATACATTTTTTAAATTAATTTTAATTATCGAGTACGAAGCCTGAGTAATGTTTTTTGTGATAAAGTACTAAGTTAGAGTATTAATCTAGTTTAAAAAAAAAATTTATACTGTTAATTATATTTTTGTGATAAATTGGCAACGATTGCTCTTACGTTAACAATATTTTGATATAAAATTACGTTTCGTAATAAATACATAACGAGCTAAAATTAATTTTTATTAATTTTTTTATATTTATGATAATAATGAATTTTTGGCGCTGAAAAATTATACACTTGACAGAAAGATAATTTATATTTTTGGAAAATGTAGATTAGGTGCAATTGTTTATTTTTCTTTATTGTGAATAAAGTGAGTCGTAACAATGGCAATATTATTAATGGTACTAGGCTCTTATAGGTCGATTGCATTAGTCAGCGACGAATCGCGTGTTGTTGTTTTCATAAACTGTTTTCAACTATGTAAACATAACCTATTCTTGTTTGTGTGTCTCGCTATAAACTTTTGGCTCGTCTCGCCATTTACCAAGGAGTGACTCGCAAAACGTTCTCTTTTTCTTCATTTCTTTTTCGTCGAAAGCTGCCAACAAATGCTGCTACGGCACTTTGTTTCTAATTTGCGTAATCAATACAGAATCTATGACTTTCAAACTTGTGCTTTCTCTTCGATTTTGAGGTTAGTAAATATCTTAAAAAAATATTTCTCACCACGCATTGGCAAAAATTTGGTATTCGTTTTTTTTAATTTAATAATTAAATTAATAATTTAATTTCAAAATAAACTGAAACTTTTATAAAATGAAATTTTTTGGGAGTTTTTTTTGAAATTTTTTTTTAAAATAACTTTAAAAAAATGTATTTTTTGTTTGTAGAGGACTTTGTTTGTTGAGTGTTAATTTTTTTCCTTTTCTTGGCTTAGCAACCACACAATCTTTATAAATCTGTATACACCTTGAAAAGTTTTTCTTATTGTAAGTGTATTTATTTTAACAGTAACCACATTCCAGGCCGTCATTCACAGATAAAAGATCCAGTTTATCTTGTCCAATTAGGCTCTAATCAAGAGACTCGATAATAATCATTAACATTTGAAAATATTTATATTAATTCTGTATTTTTCAATCTATAACTGGGTGTAAAAATTATTTTCTTTTACAATTTTTTGTAATTAAAGTTTTAAATTTACAATTTTTACAGTTGAGTGTTTAAAATTGTTATATTAATATTTTTGGAATAAAATTTCTTTTATGGATCTGAATGTGGTTTGTTAAGTGAATATATTTTTTAGAGAAATAATTTTCTATTTATAAATAATAAATAAATTAATATTAATAATTCTATTTTAGGAAAATTTAAGATTTTTATAATTGAAAAAGAAATGGAAATTGTTTTTTTGATAAATACAGTGAGTCTCGTAAGAGAGTTTAATTTCGTGATCAGTTGAAGAAACAAAAATGATAAAAAAAAGACAAATTTGTTTAAAATTTTTCTTATAGAAATATGATTGTAGTTTTCAATTTTTTTTTGACAATTGAGCGATTAGGTTTGAGAAAATTCATTTTACAGTCACTTTTTCTTTTGTGATAAACTGTAAAATTCCTCGTCTAGAATTATTTTTCGAGTTGTGCTGTTGGCCTCTAATTTTCGTTACCCTTAGGGCGTCATGTAAGATTTATGGACGGTAAAGGACTGAATTTCACATGTTAAGTTTTGTGAAAAACTGTTACTTTCCTGAGAAAAAACAGAGAGAGGGCCCTTGTCTATTTTTATCAGGGTTGCCACATTCTGAATTTTGGTTTCTTTTTTGTCTGCCTCATAAACTATAAAATTACCATCACGAATTATAATGCAAAACCTTCAATTTTTTCTATTTCTGACAATAATTTCTTTTTAAGTAACTTAATTCTTGAAGAACTATCTATCATAAAATTATTATTCACAAATTATTTATTGAATAATTTTATTTAAATCTTTTGAAATTAATTGAATTTTTGAGTTGCGTTCACAATTTTTATAAAAAATTCTCACCAAAATTAAATTATTTAAACAAAATTTTAATATAATTCTATACTCGAACATTTAATTATTTTCATAAATAATAAAAATTCCACAGGAATTCAATTATTTACAAATTTTTTCAAGAATTTCATCGCAATAATCCCATTATTTTCATAAATGATAAAAGTTTTTAACAGGGATTCAATTATTTCCAGAAATAATAAAATTCTTTTTAGGAATTCAATTATTTTCATAAATATTATAACTCATTGTAGGATTTAAATTATTTTTGATACAATTTTAATTAAAATTCTTTGAAAAATGTAATTATTTTTAAAAACTGTATTAAAATTCGTCAAAAGAATTGAATTATTATTTAAAAATTAGTTGATAAAATTCTTTATGAGAATTCAATTTTGAAAAAAAATTCAATTATTTATTTTTGTATTTAAATAATATTGAATTCTCGAGGAATTTATTTTTCAAAAAAAAAATTGATTCAAGAATGAATTTCAGTTAAAATTTTCGATAATAATTGAATTTTTAGGAAAAATCAAATTATGTTTAGAATTTTTTTTAAACATTCTCGTCATATTTCAATTATCTTTATAAATAATAAAAGTTTTTCTCTAAAATTCAATTATTTTCGAAAATTTTAATAAAAAATCTTGTCAAAATTTAAATATTTTCAAAAATATTCCTGAATTCAATGATTTTCAATGTCTACTATTTTAATATAATTTTCCAAAGAATTCAATTATTTAAACAAAATTTCGATAAAATTCTAAGCAAACATTTAATTGTTTTCATAAATATAATAAAAATTTCACAGGTATTCATTTATTTTCATAATTTTCTTCACAGTAATTCCATTATTTTCATAAATAATAAAAATTCAACAGGAATTCATTTATTTACAAATTTTTTTTATATTTCTTCGCAATAATTTAACTATTTTTATAAATAATAAAATTTTTTACAAGGATTCAATTATTTTCAT